AGAAGGTGGGGGCGTATGTGGACTATGAGAGGGGGCAGGTTTCCTTTTACAATGTGGACACCAGGTCCCATATCTACTCTTTTACTGGTTACAACTTCAGTGAGAAACTCTATCCAGCTGTTAACCCCTGTAACAGTATGACATCAGGTCCCCTGATCATCTCTCCTGTCAGTCACACAGACTGATCTGAAACAGCAGTTTCGACACAGACGAGGATTAATAACTGTGCATTTGATGATTATAATGTTGGGCTTATTTTTTCTGTGATATTTGTTATCTACATGCATTGTCAGTGCCAGCAGCATTAATTGAACTGAAAGATTACAATAGTTACATACATACTGTCTCCCCCTGAATCTACCAAAGATCACCTGTCTGTGAATAGTGATCAGGTGATTTTAGTGGATGCAGATATTTAATGATTTTAAGTACAATCACAGGTTGGTTGCATATTTCTTTCAAATATAATTTTAATTCTTTATGTCTGCTGTTAAAAAATGTTTCGTTGGGTTTGTTATGTCATTTTATATTCAATGCAAGAGTTTGTTTACTTATTAATTTTTAAGTTTGCCTTGTTATTGAAGAGTACCAGCTTTTATATAAATGATTATTGGGGTACAAGGACCAAAGACCTCCGTTTTATAATTTGTTGGGAAGTGTGTTATGGTTCAGATTCACCACTTGATGGCAGCAGAGAGATACCACTCCAGCAGAACCTGTTATTAATGAAAAATACCTGATGCTTGTTTGCCATAATTATGTTCCCTTTAAATTCAAGCTTATCCATCTGTGGTGTATTGAGTCTTGCTGTGCTAATTTCTACATTCTGTATAATGCATATGGGAAATACATATGGTTTTGGGATCAGTCTGCCGGTCACACTGTACAGGTGTAACAATGCACTGTGGCACAAAATCATTTATTAATGTCAATGCAAAGAGGCACAGTAGGAATAATTTCAGTTTTGCTTTGAGATGTTATTTTTGCATTTTGAGCTGGAGTCTGAAGAATAATTAAAAAACTGCAAAAAGGAAATGGTTTAAATGGTTTTTTGCAAATGTACATCCCTAAAAGAGAATAAATAAGAACAGTTTGTTTTCAGTCTTATACATTGTTTATACATTAACATTCTGATTTATTCTTATTTTTCCTTTTAGTTTCAAAAAGGTAGAACACGTTTAAAAAAAGCACTTTAAGTTAAAAGGTTTTGTGTTACTTTTGCGTTTTGCACTGGAGTCTGCAGAATAAGGAAAAAAAACTGCAAGAAAAAAGAAACTAACAACACCAAAGAGGGAGGCCTGACCAATGGGGAAATACAAGGAATACTCATGCTGGGAACAATGGAAAATGGAGCATGAAAATAACTGAGCTGGGAAACAGTGGGGGGGGGGGCACACATATACAGGGAACAGGATTGGCAGGCAAGAAATGGGTGTGATGAGGCAAGACATGAGGGCTGGGAACAAGGTGATTATGGGGTGACCGCTGACCTCTGCTGGCCAAGCGGGGATAAGACGGAGGCAGATCATGACTGGGTGACAGGGTGGTCTGGGAAATACATTGTTGCCAGTCGTCGTTGCAACAGCATGTAGTCCTTAGAATGCTTCTTATGCTGCACAGTAAATATTTCGCTGATGAAAGTCCTGTCTAATTTTTTTTCATTGTTTTCATTGTTGTTACTTTAAAATTCTATATTGGATTACATTTCATTCATGGTTTTTACTTTGGTCTCCCACTCTTGGTCCTCCTACTATGCTCTGTGTGGATCTAGCCACATGCTTCTACTTACAGGCAAAATATTCTGACTCGATGAAAATTTCCTGGATTTTGTGAATATCTGACGGACATTCAGTGGTAATTTTACTTGGTACAGCTATTTAGTGTCAGGACATAGGCTTGGATACCTAAACCTGGCGCCAGTTGGTGTGGACCAGGCACTGCATCAGAAATGCAATGCAGATTTCGATGCCCCATTTTGCTGTTCCTTAAATACCTGAACTGTCAATATTTGCCCTCTGGTGCTCAGGTAACAGAAGCATCACTGCACTTCATGTGCCGTCACTAGTTAACATTTCACTTGTTCTTATGTCAGCAAATGCCTACCGTTAGCTAATAGCTACATTAAACACAGTTACATTGCCTGGCTACATTTATATACTTAGTAATATTTATATATTTAAGGTGTTAATATGTGGTTCAAATCTGCCTTAGAAATAAAACAGCTGTTCTTTAATGTCGTCGACCTTCGTTTTGTGTCTGTTTTTTAAATACCTGTTTAGGCATTTTGGCACTGGCTCTGTTTGAACAGTTTTAAAAAAAACTCAAACGATACACATTATCTGCTGATTCAGAAAGATTAATACTGTACTTAGCACTCATCCTATTGTACCTGATCATATCCATCCATCACTGTTACCACTTAACCCCAACAGGGGTCATGGGGGGACTAGACCCTATCCTGGGAACAATGGGCGCAGGCAGGAACCAATCCTGGTCAGTCACCAACCCATCGCAGGGTGCACACACACTCACAGGACCAATTTAGAGTCACCAACTAATTTATCACATACACTTTTGGACTGTGGGAAGAAACTGGACCCCCAGCAAAGACCCACACAAACAGCATACGAACTGCACACAGAAAGGTCCAACACTCGACCTGGGACCAAACCCAGGACCTTCTTGCTGTGAAACAGCAGCACTAACCACTGCACCACCATGCCACCCACACATGATCCCAAAGGTGCTTTATTGGGTTGAGATCTGGGAACTGTGCAGGTCCCATATGAAAAAAACAGCAGGGGTCATATAAGGGTATCAAGCATTTTTATTATTTCAATTATATATGACAAAGCATGATTTTTTTTTGTTGTATGATTTATGATATTGTTTTTCTTGCATGATTATGGCCACAATCATAGCAAAAAACACACTTGACATGTGAGGCAGTCAAGGGAAAATCCTACAGGAAAAATATAAACTTTTACATTAACTTGACATTTTACCATATGTGATAACACATGGCTTTAGTAGGAAATACATTTTTCTTGTTTATTGTTTCTAAATAAACATATATTTGTATGTTATTCTTATGAAAGATGTTTATGATCTCTCCACATTCAGTTGGTTTAATTAGACATGGGAAAATTCAGTGAGATTAACTCAACTGTCTTATGTTCTCATGAATACATCAGCTGAAAAAAAATGTTTCATTTTCAAAATACTCATTCTACTTGTGTGCAACCACTGTTCATGATTCATATGAGTTAATTCACTGACAAAACATTAATTTCATATGCATTTTACATGAATAAAGGAAATATATGTCTAATGAAGTTAATATGCATTGTATATTTATTTTGAGTGTCATATAAAGAGTTTATATGATTTGGGTAAAACACACAAGAATCATATGTTATTTTTTAGAAACTTTTCCATATGGGGTCACTGGAGAAATCTGAATTTACTGTCATGTTTCTAGAACCACCCTGAGGTGATTTTTACTTTGTGAAATTGTGTGTTATCTTGTTGGAAGTATCCATTTGACTTTGGCTATCATGGGATGTACCTGGTCAATAACAATGCTTTGCTGGTACACTGTGGTATGCAAACAATGTTCAGCTGGTATGTATGTAGGCACAAGCAGACAGAATTTGGAAATTGGCCTCAGTTAAATTTAATAAGCCAGAATGATTTATTTTGGCACCAAATGAAGATATAAAAAATTCAAGCTACAATCCTAATGGTTTTGTAGATACGGCTATTGGGAGACGCCCTGGTCTGACTTCACTTTCATTTCCACAGCAGGGTTCCACCATTGGTTGACCAATTATTTTGGTTGAAAGTTGAAAAATGTTCAATGGACAATTTCACTGTATTTCTTTTTAAAAAAAAAAACAAAAAAAAGTATAGGTGGACAAAAAGAGGAAGAAATATCCTCTATTATTGTGAATAAAAAAATTGTCAAAAATGTGACATTTCTGGATGGAGAAATAATAAATCGAACCTGAAATATTTTCAGCCAGTTTCCTTCCGTCAATGACCTGCCAGTCAGGGGCGTAGCAAGGAATTCTGGGACCCCTAACAAAATGTTACCTTGGGCCCCCGGGTTCAGCCCTGCTGCCGGTACCTAATTAAAGGCCTAATGTGGGCCAAATTAACATCCCCCCACGTCACACCTCCACCACCAGCCTGCACCACCTGGCTGTTATTTAAGTTTCTCCAGGCGGAGGTCAGGACAGCAGGTACAGGAGCTCCTGATGGGACAACCAGAAGACAAGGACCAAGATGAAATGAGGAACGCAAAAGCCATGGATCTGAGCTGCAGTTAGGCTGCTTATATAGGCAACAGAGCTTATTTGGTCCAGTAGCACCAAAATTTGAGATACCAGATACCAGTATTTCACATAACACACACTATGGGTAATTCAGGTACAAAAAAATCACTTAATTGTATATTTTTGAACTGCTGTAGGAAATTGTAAGTACAAACATAAGGATAATGTGCAACACTAGATCAGAGGTCTGCCTGTCAGGAAGTCCAGGACTTGTGAGTCATTTCAGAAAAGCTTATGATAATGAACATAAATATTGAATGTAAAATATAATCTATCAATGTAAAAGTCATACAGGGTGTCATGGTGGCCTAGGAAGAGTTTGCATGTTCTTCCCATGTTGCGCAGGTTTCCTCTGGGTACTCCAGTTTCCTAGCTGTCCAAATTAATTAAGCTAACTGGCCCATAACGAATGATTGTGTATGTGAGTATGTGCCCTGTGATGGACTGGCATCCTGTCCAGGTTGTACGCCTTGTACTCTATGCTTCACAGAACCATCACCCAAAAAAATTACCCTGACCAAGATAAGCAGTTAGAGGACGGATGGATTGTGATATCATTGAAAAACGCGAGACGCGGTTAAAGAGAAAAGTGCCCTCTTGCGACGCCGTAGCACAGTATCCTAGCAACTAGTTGTTTACGTTTTGGAGAGAAGGTAACTTGCTTAACTTGCTTATTAAAACAAAATATTACACTAAAATAAAAATGCTATAGTACTGTATATCGTAGTGACATTAAACTAATTGTCCGCTAACTTATTCATAATGCTGATTTATACCGTTCGCAATGACGTTTGACTGTAAGCAGGCTATCGTGAATTATCACAAATAAAAACATATAACTGTTAGCTGATGGTTATATGTACGGTAACGACAAATACAACTAGGGGATGTCGATGATAACTGTACAGATATCTGAAGGTAAATTTAATTGATTTTATTAATTCAATACGATAATCGGTACTTTAATAATTGTAATTATATTCTTACTATTATTATTATACAGTTAACCTTATCTTCCGGTTAATGAGTAAATGTGCTTATGAAGTCCTTTGAAAGCATAATTAAAATACAATGAATAAAGTCATGCAGATGCTTCACGGCGTTTGCCTGCTTTCCGAAGCCGATATCCACACCCCGAGGTCATGGCGTCGCCCGGTGTCCGCTGTGCCCCGGCGGAAAGCTCCGCTGCTCGGCAACCCCAAAGCAAGATCAGCGACCGGCTGACCCCGAGCACAGCAGACCCCGTGAGTCGTCCACTCACATTATTATTATTATTATTATCATTATTATTATTATTTGTATCTGTGCACCTTGTGTTCCTTTTGCCTCTGCATACGACGAAATGTATCTATCTATCTATCTATCTATCTATTCTGTCATCAAATCATAATCATCATTATTAGGATGCTGTTACTGTAAACAATTGAACAACAACTTGACATAACGTCTCGAGAAAGAACTATATTGGTGATTTAATTGTAGAAGTTCATTTCTAAACGTGAGCACCAGGCACCGACATTTCCATTTCCTTACAGTTCAGCAGCCCACGAAAGGCGCAGTCGCCGTTTGCCGCTGTCTACGCCAAAGGAGGTATACCCTGCAGGTAGAGTGAGTGTAAAGTGTTGGCTTCCTTGTTTGTGCCGCTGGTAGTGCGCTGACAATAAAGGCTTCAAGAGGGGACAATAAAGGTGTTTTAGAGAACCGTTTACCAGTTTTTTATTACAGTTCTTCTCGATTACTTTCTAGCATTCTCAAGGTTATAAGAGCATTTCTCAAAACAATTCATGCATATAGTACAACACTACGGTTTAGTTGAAAAGGCCTGGGACTGTAGAAACCGATAGGAAAAAGTCGGACAATTTCTCACAAGTGAGGACGCGCGTCCACCTCATTCATTAACCAACAACTGACGTAACCGCCCCACCGAAACACCCGGCACTTAAAGGGACCGCACTCACCCAGCACACATTATCTGCTGCGTCCCTGTACGCATGAGGCATGATAAAATTACCCACCCCGAACTCTAACTATGGTAGGGTGACCAGATAATCCATGTCAGGGAGGACACTCTGAGCTAGGACAGGAATTGTAAATTACCATTTCAATTAAGCGGACCTGGATTTCACTTGAGCACTCAGCTCTTGCTGTGTGCTGATTGGTCAGTCTCCTATAATCATGCATGTGTCACTAATGCTAATGTGAAACAGCTGGATCAGTCTTTCAGTCAAGGAAACAAACCAGTCAAAGCACAAGAAGAGCTAAACTATTTAGCCGAGCACAGGAGCCTTTCAATTAGAAAGTAGTTTGTAAAATCCGAAGTAGCTCAAAGTGTCCTCCCTGACATGGATTGTCTGGTCACCCTAATCTATTTTAACTAACTAGACTAAAGCAACTGAAAATTGTGCCAAGTGATGATAATTGAACAAAACTATTTGCATGTATTACTAAAAAAATATAAATTTGTGTGAAGCAATGAGAAATAATGTTCTGTTGTGCAGAAGTGACATTATGGTGTCGGGATTGCACTTGCAAATGTTAACTGTCATTTGAGAAATGCTCCAAAGCAATCGAGAAAATCTGCAAAACATGAGTTACAATCCTTATCTTGCTACAATTGCTACACTATGTATCAGTCCGCTCATATGTTTATGTGTGTGTGTGTGATATATATGTAAGAGCTGTAACAATGCGATTATTGTGCCTAATTAACTTTACTTGCTTTAACAGTCTGATCCTTCAGAAATAGAATAATTTGAATAATCTGATGGTACTTTTTCTCCTTCCCATCCTTTATACAGTTTTTTGAAATTGTTATCATCAAGAGAAACTACTGAAATAGCATTTTTTATATTGTTTTAATTCTGTTATTGCTGCCTAGTAGGACAGAATGGGATTTATATGTTTTGTATCGCTAAATGCTATTCTGTTCCATTAATAGGTGTAATAGACCCTTATGAATTAGCGCAAGGCAGCTTCAAACTGCCTGCATTGCTGGTCATTTAGGGAGGAGTGCTGATGGTTTGACTTCTTTGTACTGTTGCAAATGTTTGTTAAGATTGGTCCATGGATCTGTTAAACACAAGTTACACTGGGAAACTCCTCCAGAATCCATTGCCTTTGACCCACTGCTTGTGATCCTTGCTGAGGTAAGATGTTGTAAATTGCACCTTTTGCTTGACCTATGAGCAGAGTCATAGCTAAGGGAAATACCCATCTGTTGTTATAGGATGTGCCCTATTCAGTAAAAACAGCCATAAACTGCCACAAGATGGGAACAAAAGTATTGTTTAACACTATTAGACTGAGCAACACACGTAGTTCCACCTATTACCTTTTATGTTTCCTCATCAATGAAATTGTTGTGTTTATTTCTCATTTAAATAACACTGTGGTTTTTAAACTCTGACAGCTTACAGCTGTTTACAGCTTGTGCTTTTTATATAATGCAAGGGTTTGTTTTGTTTTATTGTTTTGCTTGATAAATTGTTTGCTTTTGCATTTTAAATCATTTCACTTGCACCTAAATAGAGATTTAGGAAATTATGGCCATGTTAATCATGGTGATATCTAGATTTAAAAAAAAATCGGACAGTCATCTCATTTATTATGGATGTAGATTGTCACTTCATAGTTGTTGTAGATGAAAACACGGGGTACAGCCATACCATGTACAGTATGGAGTAGTTTCCCCCATAGTTACCTTCATTGGCATTCTTTGTGCTTTTCCAGGGTTTGAGAGAAACCAAATACCCTTACACATTTGTGTCCAGAGAGGGTTTCAGGGAGTTACTCCTGGTAGAGGGCGCCAGTGAGAAAATCAGGCCACTCCTTCCGAAGGTGGTTCCTGCACTTAGAGCGGCTCTGGTAATGTATCTACCTACTGTGTGCAAAAATCCTACAAAACACCTTTGTAATAAGTCAGTTTCTTACGATATATTCCATGGTCAACTTTATGTGGTATTACTGCAATATGGAAGTGTTTAGGAACAACAGAAACAGCCACGAAGTGTCAGTTAAGTCACAGAGCAGGGTCGCTATGTGCTTAGGCTTGTAGTGGGTAAAAAGTCGCCAGGCTCTGTTCACTCAGTAATTGCAGAGTTCTCAACTTCCTCTGGCATTAACCCCAGCATAAAAACTGTGCACCAGGAGCTTCCTGTAAAGGGCTTCCATGGCCGAGCAGCTGCATGCAAGCCTCTCTTCACCAAGTGCAATGCCAAGAGTCAGATGGAGTGGGGTAAAGCACGCCACCACTGGACTTTGGAGTAGTGAAAACGTATTCTGTGGAGTGATAAGTCACACTTTTCTGCCTGGCAGTCTGATTGATGAGCCTGGGTTTGGCTGATGCCAGGAGAATATTACTTGCCAGACTCAATTTTGCCAACTGTAAAGTTTGATGGTCCAGAGTTAATGGTATGGGGTTGTTTTTCAGGGGTTGGGCTGGGCCCCTTAGTTCCACAGTGAAGGCAACTCTTAATTCTTCAGCATGCCAAGACATTTTGGACAATTCTATGCTTACAACTTTGTGGGAACAGTTTCGGGACGGCCCTTTTCTATTCTCACATGACTATGCTCCATTGCACAAAGCAAGGTCCATAAAGACATGGTTGGGTAAGTTTGCAGAGGTTGAGGTCACGGACTTGTAACTCAACTCAAACTCTAGTCACAAATTTGATGACTTGTGACTTGACGAAACTGATAAAAAGACTTGGACTTGAGCTCAATGACTCAAGACTTGGACCTGACGACTTGAGATTGTAGTCCCCCCTGTGGTTGCCATAAAGTTCATTTGACTGTTTCTGTGTATATTAATTCTCTGCTGTCTGAATTTTCAATTGGATGAATACAAAGTCTCCTGAGATAGTTTGTTGGAAAGATGCATCACTTCCTGCATATACATGGACATAAAAACAGTGAGGACAACTGCGACAGAATGGCAACACTCTGCCTATGAAGGACTTAAACTACAATGCACCATGGTGGGTTTTTGCTGCACTAAGTTTTAATCACTAAAGGTAAAAAAACCCGACATAGGTAGGGATTCAAGTTACATGACTCACGACTTGGACTCGAGTCAGAAATTTGATGACTTGTCAGCAAAAATGATGGAAAGACTTGGACTTGACTTAAACTTGAGGGTAAATGACTCAATACTTGACTTGGACTGCAATGTTTGGACTCAAGACTTGACTCAGACTCACCAAGGAATGACTTGTTCCCATCCCTGTGAGTTTGATGTGGAAGAACTTCACTGGCCTGCACAGAGCCCTGACCTCAACTCCACTGAACACCTTTGAGATGAACTAAAACAGAGATTTCAAGCCAGACCTTCACATCCAACAGCATTATCTCAGCTCACAAATGCTCTGCTCTATGAATAGGTAAAATTCCACAGACACACCCCAAAATCTTGTGGAAAGCCCCCCCCCCCCGAAGAGTGGCAGCTGTTATAGCTGCAAAGGGGGGACCAACTCCATATTGATGCCTATGGATTTAGAATGTTATGCCATAAAAGTTCCTGTAGGTAAAATGGCCTTTTGTCTATATAGCGTATGTAAGTTGATAATGGGGGTTTTTGGAAAACATGCCCCTGAATAGGACTCAACTTCTTAGCCTACTAATAATAAATAACCTTATTATCAGTGGCTGTTAGTATATATTTCTTCCCTCACTAGGTGCCCTTATGGAGACTGTATACATGTCCATTGAGAGAGAAAATATATACTGCAGGTTGTGCAGGAGCATTGGAGTTAAAAGTGGGCTGGTGTGTGTTAAGTTTGGGGGTGTAGTTAAGACTGTTCTACAACAGCCTAGGATTTTTGAATCAGCCAGTTTTACCACCTTCTTCTACGTATGTGGGATTTTATATTCGAATGAAGGAACAACAGTGTATGTCAGTGCCATACCAAAGCACCTATGGCACCTTTAAGGGGCACTAATGGGATATTGTTGGCAGCCAATTACTGGCCCAAACAGGGTGAGAATCAGTCTTAAAGGCCATGCTGGGAAAAAGCCAAGCCAGCTGTCCCTGTGTATTCTTGGCTGGTAAATACTGGAGGATGACTGAGCCCCATATACTTAATAATAAATCCCCCCTTCGAGGATTATTCATCTGCACTACTCTACCATAAGTGTGCTCCTGACAACACTGACTGCTATTAGACTTTTTGTCATTGTCACGCATCACCTTGGCCTCTCCTACACTCCACTGCGTGCTGCTCCTTTACTGAAATGATGTCAATTTAACCTTCAATCAGTCAGGTGTATTCAGTTGTATAAATGGATAGCAGAGTGAAGTTGCTCTACACAATTGTGGTATAGATATATTCCAAGAAACCTTTGCATTTATGACAGTTAAAACACAAATGTGTGAATATAGTTTGTTAGCATAGTGATGCTAATTATTTGATCTTTATAACTTGCTGAGCCACGAGCCAATGGTATTCTATAAAATGTGATATTGACAATGCATAGGATCATTCTGATGAGAGCAATGTGGAAGGCCTTCTTAACTGCAGTAGTGTCTTCTCTCAGGCCCATGAAGACACTGAGGTCTTTGAGAGAGGGCTAGACGGTCTCCTACAGCTCAGTGGCATGGCACGATGTGACCTCAATGGCCACCTGAAGCATGTGCTTGCCTGTGTAAGTAGTCATGCAATCCAATTCATCAGTGGGTAGAGATCACAGCACAGGTGTTTTTGTGAAATGCTAGGGATTAGCATGTTATACCAAACAAATCACACAAAATTTTGGTCTCTGTGTATGCTGAAAAAGGTGCTTTTTGCAATATTTTGTGCCACAAGGGATTAAAAGAAAAGTAGCTGCTTTTAATTCAGGCTTTCAGAATAGTGCTTTAATTGAATTATGAATGTGTCATGATCCATCTCTGTCATTCCTTCTGTGTTCCCGTTTCTCTCCGCTGGGTGTCTCTGTTGGCTATCCAGTTTTTCTCCCCACTTGCACCAAATCACACACATCTGTCCCTTATATGATCCTCATTACCCTGGTATATAAGTACCTGCCCTTGTGTTGTTCCCTAGTTTGGTCATTGTTACTGCTGTAGCAGTTAGTGTTGGTAGTTGGTAGTTTGTGTTCCTCATTATGGTCTCACCCCAGCTGCTCCCCATGTTAGGTTAGCCCTTGACCCTCTTAGTTGGTCCTCCTTGCCTCCTGTTCTGACCCCTGTGTATAGTTTAGTTCAGTAATAAAACCCCTTCAGTTCACTACCAGGCTACATATGGATTGTCACTCCTTCCTTGCTTACCATGGTAATAGAATTTTATTGAGTGAGGGTGCCTTCTAACAATATTGATATAGTATTTCTGGATGTTACTCTATAAAATGTATGACCTGATATTCAGTCAGCTTTGGCAGATACTGTGTGTAATGAATACCGTTTCAGATCTCAAAGAAATTCATGCAGAAGAAACACAGGGAGAAGGTGACCTTGGCCCTACAGACACTGGAGAGGAATGGAGGCAAGGTGTGTGACAGATTCCTCTGGGAGCCTTTCTCCATGTTTTATAATTCACAGATTCTATACACTCACTATATATGTGACTGGATGCAGGTAAATGAATATAGAAACTATGCTTTATAAGGGAATGCAAAAAGTCTCTTGTCTGAATCATTTTCTACATGTATGAAATGGACAGTAAATATGTATTTCTCTCCCTGTGCCTCTATATAAGTTGTTCTTGCCTGGTGTTGTCCTTTTTTCAGGAGAGCCTACCAATTATAAAGTCCAAGGTGCCAACATACAGCTCAGTTTATTTCTGAAGATACCAGAACACCTGAGCACCTTTGTGAGCTACTATTCTTATTATTGTCTAAGTCAGTGTCTCTCAGACGTTCACGGTTTTTGCTCCCTCCCAGCTCCCTGCCAAATAGTCCACAGTTTGGCTCCCAGGAGCTAGGAGGGAGCAAAAACATGGACTGTTTGAAGGTCTCCAAAGACCAGGTTGAGAAATACTGGTCTAAATGTGTTGGCCTATTTGACATTTTTGCAGTGATTTTAATTTTCCATTCAGTTATATTTTTCCAGTGTTTCACAAGTGTAAAGATGCTGTATACAATATGTGGATTGATAATACTCAGTGTGTACCTGTCAGGTTTCTCTGGTGTACATATGTTAAACTGAAAGGCCAGCGGGACACATCTGGCACACAGCACAATTTTTCATGGCCTGCAAAATGAGTCTGTAATTCTGTTGGGTTCACAGTTTGGTGCAATTTTGTACAGCATGTCATGGAAAATCAAATAGTTTTGTTTAGATAATTAATAGAAATTTAAATTCAAACAATTAGGAACAGTTGTAAAGCAAAGGCAATGTGTCTGAGGTCGATGTATCTGAATAACAAAACTCAAGAGGCTCTTATTTGCACATTGTAAAAAATATTAAATATGCAAAATAAATAAACTTTCAGAAATTACACTGCATATCAGGGCCGACCAGCCCTATGGGTGATATAGGCAATCGCCTAGGGCACCAACTAATTAGGGGATGCAAGAGAGTGAGTAAAAAAACCAGAAGAAAAACTGTTTTGTGACATTACACTTATTTACACTCTTGAAATAGCAACATCTGTTGACGCTATAACCACCTGCAACTCCCATTTAATGCCAAAATAATGCATCATTCCTCAATATTTACCCTGTTATCTTCTTTGTTTCAAAGTATAGTGATGTTCAGGATGTCTGTACATTCTGTAAAGACCATAGTGAAACTCTGATACATTTATTTTACAGTTGTCCAGTGATTTCAAGGTTCTGGACAGACATTGTAAGACACTTACTCCACAATATTCTGATTTTCATAAAACTTATTTTGTTGTATTCTTTAATTATAAAAAACACTAGTTTGGAATTCATATCCAGTCTTGTTATTCTGCTGGCTAAATTTTATATTCATAAACAGAAACTTACATCAGCTATCCCTACTGTATTGTATCAGTTTTGTGCAGAATTTGATTGCTTTATTGAAACATGTAAACTAATGAATAAAAAAAAATCTACAACTTTCCTAACACATTATGACAAAGTATTTATAAATCCCCAATAGATCACTTTACCTTCTATGAAAGTATGGTTTTACTTTATATTAGGCCTATTTTTTTATTTATTTGTTTTTTCTTATCCATGAGAAGATATTAATATTTACATAGTATTTCTCCTTTATCTGCTGTTGCAAAACCAATGGTCACATTTATTGTGGTTCAGTTAAAAAAAATAAAATTGGCAAGAAAATTAAACGGGCAAAATAATCTGGGGTCTCGGGAAATGAGTCAGTGGTATTTAGTTTTCATATTTCACTACTCTCCTTATGAAAGGTGATAATACCCTGTGGTAATGTAATGTTTTTAAACATATACACTGGCAAAATGTGTCTTCTGTTGCTCTCAGCTGTGAAGTTCATCATTTCAGTATGCAATGTAAAAATATATAAGTCAATATATATAGAAAAATGTCCTAAAAATATACATGTTTTAAGCACTACCACAGATTGTCACCTTTTCAGACTTTCCAATTCTAGTCATAAGATTTCACCATTACAATGGATTGTTCTCTGCAAACCCCAAGTGAGGATAGTTCATCAATTTTGAAAATGCACCACATACTTAATGGTCATATTTATTCTGTTTATATTTTGTTGGTGTTTGGAAAAATAAACAAACTAAGACAAATCTTGTGTTCTATAACTTGTATAGGTGTCAGTCTTGGTCTTATCAACTACTCTCTCTCCAGTGTTGGTGTAATTTATTGGGGAACCAAAATGTTCCCAAACAGCCAATTTTGTATGACTCACTGACCAACTCACCAGTACAATTAGCATAATATTTTCCATACTTGTGCATTCAGGTTTCACCCATGTCAGGAAATGTATTCATTCATTTCATTGTCCTTTGCAAACCAAAAGTAATGTAACCGAATGGTACACAACAGATACATGTGCTATTATAGCCCTCCCCAGGAAGCAGGGATCATCCTGTGTCTAATGTCTAATGTAAACATGTCTAACCTTTTATTTACACAAAATACGATCCGGAATGATTACAGAAGCCTGGTGGTGTCTGTCTGTACTGTCCACACCTTTCTCAAGTCCCTCTTACACATGCACATCTATAACATGTTTTAGCAGAACACGATAATAAAGTCATGTGTCCTATGTGCCCATAAACTGCGTTTTATAAGGATTCCCCTATAAAGACTAATAAAATAATGCTTAACAATAAAATTGATTATATCTCCTATGGGAAGAAACTTCTTACACTCTTAAGACCATCCAGGAGAAATCAGTGATTCCACATTATTTTATTCTTCTCATGGAGGGAGATGCTAATGGGTCTGTGACTGCTATAGCATGATGGTTAGATTACGTTGGTACAGTATTTATAAACAGGTGATATATACCACTATAGAGAAATCTCAGTATGGTGGGCAACATTAAGGATAATATGGGCTCTTTTAAAACATACTACAGCACACCTGGTGACTTTAGGTTCCTGTTTCCAGTCACATATAATAGATGGTTTCCTGTAAATCCTCCCACTGCCTCTTTGCCTTTTACTTGTCAGAGAAGAATGGAAAGCTTCATAGTTCTCTTTTTCTGTGTTCTTTTAAAGGTATGTGTGTTTCCATCTGAATATGCTGGTCTATTGGTTTAGCATGAAGTTGTAATTATGTGATATATAATGTGTTATGTGTATATAATTTATGTTGTGCAGTTAGACTTCAGTCTCTTGTGTGAAGATTCCTGGTAATTCTTTATGTTTATCGATGGTGGTAATGCAGGGGACAGCCAAGATGACAAGCCAGCCCACTGCAGCACCCGCACATAAATTCTACAGGCAATTCATAGACACCAATTCAAAACTACACCCGGTGGCCAGTGGATTAGGTACATAATAATGATAGATACTTTATTGATCCCTCTGGGGAAATTGTCTTTATGCTTCCCTCAACTTGCTCTTTGTAGAGCAAGCTGGCTTTAAAGGGCAGCCACCTTTTGTGGTGCCCTGGGGGTTAAGGGCCTTCTTAATGGACGTGCCAAGGCTGGGTTCAAACTGACGACCTTCTGGCTACAAGCACACAGGCTTAGCCCACTGAGCCACATGCTGTCCACATTTGTCTGTTGATGCAAACAGCTTGTTCCTCCAAGCAGTGAATCATGTAGCTGCAAATAAATGCAGACAGAACACAGCCAGGGTCAAGGCTGTCACTGTTAGGGTAAGATGTGCGATCTAAGATTTTGAAAGTGGTGTGATTGTTGGTGTCAGATGTGGTGGTTCCAGCTTCAGGGATCAGCCTCCTGGGATTTCCCGCGCACTGCAGTCTCTGGAGTTTTAAGCAAATGATCAGTGGAAATTCTGTGGCAGAGGGATGGCAGAGGAGAGCGACTAAATACGTTTAAGCTAACAGGAACGCATACTAATAGGTGTACCTATTAAAGTGGACCTCATAGACATGTATGCTATATGTGTTTGTGCAGATTGGTCAGCATAGACTGAATTTTCATCACTTAGTGTGGAGCTCTAGGGGAACTAGGACCCCAGTGACCTGTAAAAACTTCCCAGTCCTAAAGGCCATTGTGTTTATAGCAGCTGCTCAGCTCACCTGAGGGCACAAATCACTGGGGGAATCAGATGACAAACAGGGGGAACTAAGAGCCGCTCATTTATTCACATAATTCACTGCTATTTACGTCACTGGTAGAACAATAGGTTATGAATGTTCCAGGAAAAACAAACGATATCAATCACATATTTTTCACATTAAACTGATATTTAATAAGCAGCCTCACAGATTCACAGATATGGGTTGACGGATACGTTCTGCTTATACCATGTAATTCATCTTCTCAAGCAAATGCCTTCATTTTTGTGCGTGTTCTGCTGGAAGGCACACAGGTCTTCTGTAGAATTATGTTATTTTATGGTTTAATTTCTGGGAGGATCCACTGAAACGTGACACAAATATGTGAGGGTGTTTGGTTTGGGTTACAGGTTTAACGCAACTGTTGATAGGGATAAAATCAAAGCACAGCTGTGGATGAGGGGAAGACCATCCAGGCAGCACAGGGCACGATGCTGGGGACCAGATACCAGTCCATTACAGGGCACATGCATGCCATTAAACACTATGGCCAATTTATGCCAGTTTAACTAACAGAATGTCTTTGGATCATAGAAGGCACCCTACATGCATGGAGGATAACTGCATAACATCAGGAAATCAAGCAAACTCCACACACACAGAATGGAGGCACACAGCACCCAGTCTGGTTTATATAATGGGGACTAATGAACAGCAGACTGAATCAGCTCATAACTTCATTCCGGCCTGGGACGTCCACCCTGTAAAGGCTACTGGCTTCACTGACAGGAATAACATCTTTGCCGTGCCGTGGGCAGAGGCTTTGGAACCAGGGGAACGGAGGGGGACACGTACCTGCCAATATTTAATTTGGCTTCATTCACTCTAGTCCCCCCACCGAAAAAAAAAAATAGATCTCTGCATATAACTTATGAAGTTGCCCCCCCCCCCCCCCCCCACCCAGTATCATACTCCAACACCATTGGTCATGGGTTACACTGGATAAACTGCTAGGTTAAGGTCACCAAGGGGAACATCCTTATGAACTATTTCTGGGATAATCTGTACCGTGTTTCCTTTCTAAAAGTTTTAATACACAAACAAGGGTATCTGCTCTTAGACACACAGCCAGTCTTTGTTCTCTGAGCTGTTTCCAGCACAAAAGGGTCCTGAACTGAATAACATATCAGTGGTACAGCTGTTGATTTGACTGTTTTCCTCTGAAACCCAAATAATGTCTTGCGATCAGTTTTGTGTTGTTGGTGGTAACTGTGGTAATTCTACTGCCTGCTCTGCTGATGTACCGTCTTGTGTTCTGTTTTAGGATACAGCTCATGGCCAAACAAACTTCTCCTCTCCCGAGGGAGTTACTCTTCTTGAGGTATCTGTCCTTGCTTTAGTCGTGGCCAATGCTACACTATGCATTGCAACTATAATAGGAATTTGCATACTGTTCAACAAAGTTAGTCAGGTAAGTCACTTAAATTTTCTTAGCAGCTGGAAAAATTACATCCAAAGGTTACCTCCCTTTTTGGTTATTAAATTTATCATGCATTCCAATTTAAGATTCCATTTATTCATCTTCCTACCTCTTGTCCTGGTCAGGCTGGGTCATGGGGGGGTGGGGGAGCTGAAGCTTGGTGGAGTGCCAGTCCAACTTAAGGTTGAATTTTCCAAATGTGCAATTTGCATTATTCAGTACAGTAATAAAGTATGCAAACATTTGTTTTTTACAGTATAATTTTTAAAATCAGTTTCAGTTATGAGAAGGTTGCTGGTTGAAATTCCAAGGCTGGCAAATTGATTTCACTATTAGGCCCTTGAGCAAGGTCCTTAACCCCAGTCACTTCAGGGTCTAGCTAATCCTAACCCTAACCCTAACCCTGCTCTCTGATTCCCATGATGCTTTGGACAAAGGGTGTGTTAAATAAATTTATTAGAAAAATAAAATGTCAATGTTTGTCTGCAGATCAGGATGAAGATTGCAGAGAATGAAACTGTCACTGACCGTCGCATCACACAAAATGGGTCTAAGCCTTTTCAGGAGAACAATGAGATGCACAATGAGAGCCCAGATCCTACCAATCAGGCACCAACACGGCCTTCGTCCTTCAAACTCCCAAACACAGAGAAGCGGGAATCGAGCCAGCTGTCAGAGCACTCTTCCAGCATGCAGGGCTCAGATCCTACCCTGTTTCGACAACTCTCCCCTCCTGACTATGAATACACCATGTCCAGAAGGTTCAGACAAGGCAATGTGTCCCAGCATCTGCCCGAGGAGGACATGTCCACCATCGACTTGACCCTAGATGATGACCCAAACTCCCCGTACATGCATATGAGGTCTTGTGGGATCGACAGTCTTATCCCAGGCATGGCTGATGAGGACATCTACGATATTCCCCGATACTCCTCTGCTAGCTGCATCTGCTTTACCCGAGTAGACCAAGCATCTCTGAAAAGAGCCAAGCAGTCTAGGTACCGTTCTGACCCCAACAGTTACCCTTTGTCTTCTGTTCTCAGCAGCCTGCAAATGAGTAATGGTGAATCGCTTGGTGCTTGCTCTCCAGACAGCTCCAGGGACTCTGGGCAGGGGACTATCAGTAGCTCGCAGAGTCTCAGGTTTGAGATGAGTGACCCAGGGTCAACGGGTAGAACAGAGAAGCTCTCCAACTCTATGTTTACGAAGGCAGCATGTCCTCAGAAGCGAAATGCAAACTCATCTACTCGGAATCAGAAACAGCCACCAATTGCAATCTAGTTTGAAAACCAAAACAAAATCCTATTAACAGATTAACCATACAATTATCCTTTATAGAGAGTACAATTTTGCCTGCTATTCGCAACATCTGATATCTGATAATCTGATATTGGTTAGCACTGCTGCCTTCCATCTTTGGGGTTAAGGTTCAAGTCTCTACCAGGGTTCCATATACTGTACTCTGTACTCCCAATGAACAGGACAAGCAGTTACAGAAAATAGATGGGTTACCCACAGGATATTGTTTATAGTTTTATTTCAGACAAAAGGTTTTAAAATAGTTTGGGTTATTTTTACACCAATCATGTAAAATTTGTAAATGTAGAGGTTTTAAGTGAGAACAGAAACCACCAGGAATGCATGATTAGTAATGATGACTATTCATGAAACTGTTATTTATCTTCCCTGCATGGACTAATTCTATTTGTTAGTTTGTTTGGGTCTCCAGGCCCAGGTATAGACCATCTCCATTTGCCCTGCTACATTTATTGAAGTGTTACAAAAGAAGTTTGTTCAATAAGTATGATCCCTGACAGGACACACTCCCACACCTTTCACACCTACAGGCAGGTTTGGTACCTCCCATTCACACCTACAGGCAGTTTGGTACCTCCCATTCACACCTACAGGCAGTGTGGTACCTCCCATTCACACCTACAGGCAGTTTGGTACCTCCCATTCACCTCAGGCTGTTTTGGGACTGTGCATTACCCAGAGGAAACCCCACAGTGACCGGAGAGCATGCACACTCCACACACAGAGCCACGGCAGAGACTCATAACCTGATCCCACAGGTGTGAGGCAACAGTGCCAACCACTGCACCGAAGCTTTCTTTTGTTTCATCAAGATATATTTTTATATCCTTCTAGTTCATCATGAGTAAAAATCTTTTATTGTATGTTATTAAATATTGTCATTGGCTAAAAAAAATATATTTATTGGTTGAACCTAAAATGTGTTAGGGGAAATGATCGAAGCAGAAGCTATTATAGACCTGCCATTAAACCAGTCAAAATAGTGATAAGATAGAAGAGTTCATTATCATTGCTTTCCCCTCCATAGTCACCTCTCTGACATGTTTTCTGTGCTCATGTGATCAAGCTGTATCTCAGATTTCTAACACACATGCACTCTTCCCCATATTCCATTATGCAAATGTTGTCAAGTGTCAGAAATACATGATGCCACTCTTTAATAGCATTCAGCAGTTTGTTGTTCATTGATCTTTTGTCTGAGTTGGACAGATGACAATCTCTATGTCTCCATTTTTGTCACATCCATAGTACCACACTCAGTGAAAACAATAGCAGAATTCTAAAATGCACTTATATATATGTATGTGTGTGTGTGGATTATGTTTTTATTGGGAACCAAATGTCCTCCACAATGTAATGAAAAACTGTTGTTTTGATGTTGGGACCATTTTTTTCAGGTCCCCACAAAGATGTGTGAATGCAATCAAAAAAGTTAAAATGCCAAAAGTCTTGTATTTAGTTTGGTTACTTATGGTTAAGGTTAGGGCTGGGTAGGGGTTAAGGTTGTTATGTTGGGATTAGAGTTTTGCCCATAGAAAGGAGTGGAGAGTCCCCACAAACACATAATTACAAACCGATGTGTTTGTGTGTGTGTTGCAACAATTATTTCATTCTGTTTTTGCTAACTTGAAATCATGTGGAATGCATTGCAGTGAATAAGTAGGTGGAACATCTTTAAGTATGAAAAGGTGGCTGCAGTGTCCTATAATATACAGCAGGGGTCGATATTTGCCTGTAGCTGTGTTTTACCGCCAAGGGAGTGTTTTGATTGTGGCTGCAGTTTTCCATGAAATGCAGCAGGGGGCTCCAAAACATGCCAAATCAATGTGAAATATAAAGGGGATATGAATACTTCAGTAATTCTGCATAACTGGATATAGTAAAATTTGATTCCCAAAAAAATATGTGAGATTCTATAGGACAGAGTAATGAGCCTGAGGCTCTGGCTTCTTTTAGAAGAAGACCATGAGATCGCTGGTCAACTGATGAGGTCCTGTGACTCGACATCCTGCTTATTGAGGGACTCTCCGGCCCCCTGCCCTCCATCACAAACCACTGTGTGACTAATACCCAGCATGCCGCACTCAAGCAGCCCAACTCGCCGGCGCTGTCTGCCTGCCCCTTTCACACAGAGATCTCCCCACGCCAGAGCCCTCACCATTAAATCTTATGATGAATCCACAGCTTGCAGCTTGTTTTTTCGACTAACAAAATCCAGATGCAGGACGTCAGCCACTGCATTTTTAATATGATGACAAAATAATTGAACATCTTTGTGAAATTACCCTGATGCAAAGTTACCATTATCCAGCTCCCAAATATCATAAGAACATTATGCAAAATATTTTCTAATTACTTTTGATTAAATGAAATAATAACATAAAAATGATTTTTTTTTGTACTCGTGGAAGAAGGAAAGTGTTCATGTAATGAGTTTAATGTAAGCTTACAGCTTTGGGGGTTGGGGGGGGGTGCAGAACCCCAAATAAGGCAAAAGGGACAATAGATAAAAAGATAGATTTATACCGTGCTGGTTTACTGTAATTTTAGGGGATTCCCCAAGAGCAACTGGTGATTTCAAACAAGGTACAGAAAAATACTGATCCACGACATATATCTAAGTATTCCACACTGCCCTCTGGCATTGTGGGAAATATCTGAAACTGTCAGCTCTCACAATTTTAACTCTCTCCAACTGCAGAATTCGCCAGTTTGTCAGTACAGGGATAGATATAATGACCCAGGATAATGACATTGATCGCTGTGCCAGACTGTGGGCCCAGTGGGTGGCTTCCAGCTCCATCTGACAGGCTGAGAAAATGTCGGATCCCAAACAAAATAACATCACTGGAGAGGAATTCTCATTGAAGCCGTACCAGCTGCCTCTGTACGGTAGCTAGCTTCAAAAATCCATCCATCCATCCATCCATCCATCCATCTACCACTTATCCTGGTCAGAGTCTTAGGGCTCAAAATTACAAAAGACAAAAACTGTGATCTCTCTTTTTCACTATGGGATCTGAGTCTTTTAAAATGTTATTGAAGGAACGCTTAAGTTTTAAATTTAGATTTGGATTATTGTTTTCTAGATAACCCTTACTCAAAAATAGATAGTTATCTATTTGTGTACATTTAGTGTTATTATTGCATTCATGTAATTATAGTGCATTACTAAAGCGTTTTTTGCTGAGGGAAAAACTGAAGTTAAAAACTTTGTTTAAAATAGGGCAGCCATTGGTGACATGGAATCAGAGTTGTCTTTAATGTGTGTGACATAAATCACAGCTTTATATACTGTGTGGTGCCATCCTATCCACTTTACATAGATTAAACACCTATAAAGCCTATTTAGGGGTTAAGGTTTAGCTGAAAGCTTAGATCCATTGCTGGCATTATTAACAGTCAACGTCTCCTCCAGATGCAGAGGGCTCTCTGATTCCATCCACTGTAAAGCGGAGGTAATGAGACCCAACTGGGAAAACCTCTCTGTCAGGTACAGGCATTGCATCTGATCCCTGATCTGGTTCCAGTCACTGTATTGATCTGTAGGATAATGGCTTTGCCTTTAGCTTAGCTATTAGCCACACTGTCCTTCTGGCAATTGCAGGTGTAGTACTTTGCTAAGCAGCGCCGACTATAGGATACACACTAATTGTGAAATGTTCAGGCACACCCCTGTGTTAGGTTTTGGGGCTGCTTGCAGCATATGCTCCAGCTGGATTAGATTTGGTTTGCATGTCTTGTGAGCCAGCGACTGTGTGAAATCAATGCAGTCCAGCAGGGGGGGGGGTTTGAAAACTCCCCCCAGCGAAGCAATAGGAATAAGAGCTGTGATGCCCTTATTTGTACTTTAAGTGCCAAACCCTGTGACTGACCAGGTTTTCCATTTAAAGATTAATTTAGCTGACTATTATGGTAATTCAATCAGTCTAGATCAGGGCTCTTCAAATCTGGACCACGATTCCAAATCCAAGCCTTGTTTTCAGTTCTCCCAGGTAGTTACTTTAATAATTACAGATTCTGATTGGCCACAGAGGCTTCACACCTGGCTCACACGTAAAGGAAGACAGGGAAATCAGCAGTGCTGGGATCTTGAGGACTGTGGAAATCCTGGTCTAGATGCTAGGATTACTGTGGTCACCAGTGTAAAGCAATGCTCATCAGTCTTTTCTTTAAATGTTAAACCAGCCATAACTTGTCATTTGAACAACAACAACAATAACAACGATAGTAATAATAATGTTTTGTTTGGTAAAAAATAAGAAAAGAAAAACTTTTTTCCTGTTCTGTGTGGCACTTTTATAAAATTAGCACTGAAAAACATTTTTAAAATGCCCCAAGGCTGTTAATTTTTAAATACTTACATCAACCTGAGATGAATTGAGTAAGATACTGGTGTGAGTTTCACTGATGGCTTTTCTCTGATGAAACGCGTAAAGCCTTGACATAGAAATGGCACGGCGCTGTGCTGGTGAACGATGGCTGACGCCTAACTGCCTTGCCGGAGCCCACACACTGCACCTCTGCAGTGGAGAGCTTTCAGCAGAACAGCCCAGCACTGTCCCTCCCCCTCCGCCACTGCCGGCCGCTTGGCTGCCTGCCGTCTATCTGCAGCAGGAGACCTTGGGGGGAGTGGGGGGGGGGTCCATGGTGCTCACAAATGAGCCATATCTACTCTGTGCTGGCCTTTTTATTGGGTTTGTGGGTGTTATTTAAATGTTACATCATATATTTTACACACACACACATAAACATGTGACAATTGCCGGTGAGTATTTCTGGTTAATGTTTCAAAGGACATTTTGTTGTGCTTGGTCCCAGGATGCCCTATCTCATGTCTGATGTGCTGAAAACACACATCCAATGCAGGGGGAATAAAGGGGGGCAGTGAATAAGGGAGTAAGGAAACTGGGGGAGTTTTAGAAACACCCCCCCAAGACCTAGTCAGGCTTTACTCTTACATGTATTTTTTTAACACATTGATGAAATGAATGCTACACTTCACTGACAGTCACGGCCTCTTGGTTCTGCAGATGGAGGCCATTTCTTAACTGTGAGGTACCCAGCACAGTAAAGCCTCGAATCGACTGCTTTGCTGTATTGCTGCTATAGACAAAACCTGATATTCATATTCTAAACTTTTCAGTTACTCTTTAGACAGCGGTTCACCTCAGGATATTTTTTTCATGGATAAATAGTAGCATATAAATAGAAGTATTCTATCCAGCCATCTTCTGCCCGCGTCTTCTGCTGAGGGTCACGGGGGCCTGGAGCCGTTCCCGGTCTGCACAAGAACCTAAAAATGTAATAATTCTGGGCAGAATTACTTTGAGCGTATGTGCGAGTGCCCACCACACACCACTGTTTGGTTTTGGGCACCCCTTTTGGATTTCACCTTAGTTTAAACTCTGGAACTGGACGTAGGCTAGTATAATCCAAAAGTAAATCAAAGTTGCAAAATCATATTTCCCACATACACAATTATACGGATCACAATGTGCAGCGAAATGCCAGGTTGCTTAGCTCCATACTATGGAAAAAAATGGTAGCGGGAGACATAAGTTTGAGAGACAAGACAGAGACATCACGTACTACAGACAGAAGGCATAGGTTATAATCACGATATCTATAGTGTGCAGCGTTAAGCGTTAAGTAAGAGTAGGTAGTGCAAGAGTGCAGAAATAATTTTTTATACGAACATTTTTATATCTACATGTGTGAGTGTCACTGGGATTTTCTCACAACTGGTATATTTGGCGTGATTATTACAAGGTTATCGTGACTAAATGCACGTCACACACAGGAAGATAACGCACAGGCCTACAGATACCGCAACAGGGATATTTCCAGGACGTATGCCATCATTTTGGTTATAAGGCTACGCTTTCAAATCCTGTTCACTGTCAATGTCATGTAAAAAAGACCAGGACAACAACACAATAATTTAGAGTTTACCATCATCATGAATACTTATGTTGATGACTGAGATGAAACATTCTAAGAGAATTATTTTGTAATTAATGAATGTCGCACGTTGAGGTTTCTTTATTTTTATTTTTTTTACACATAACTCCCATCTCTCATTAAGCCGTCTTCACAATCCCGTCCACAGATAGTTGTTTTTAATTGTAAATCGCTATTGATTAATGCATCGTGTGGGACGCGATACAGGGCAGCTTCACGGTCAAGTTCGCCAGTCGGAGCCGCACCCTTGCGGGTTGTGTCGGCTTGTAACTTGTACTCATGCGCTACCCAGTGCAGCCGCACTACCCATCTGGGCAACATGGAGCACGCGTCGTCTCAGCTCCCAAAACTGCATAGGAATTAAATAAATATCCTTGAATATATATATATGAAATTTCGTATAGCTAACTGCAAATTATTTCATTTTTTCTAGGGACTGAATACAGCTGATCACGGCATCTGCAATGTTATGTCATCCCGGAGCAGCTTTTCTCCGTAATCCCGCAGTACGACTTCAGAAAATGCCTTTTATTAACAGCGGCTAAGTCGGCAATCAGACGGTCATCTGAAAGCATTTGAAACAGGAACCGATCCTATCGGACGTTTTAATAAAACAAGCCAAGGGTGCGATGGAAGTAACGAAAAGGAGGCATTTTAAATAAGTCAGCAAAGCTCCGGCTGCGAAGTTGGAGGGCAGGCGGCGTAGCGAGGGGCCGGGGACGCTTCCTCCTGGAGTGACGTCGGCTGGGGCTTGGGCTGCATTTATCCGCCCGGCTGGTTCTGGGGTGGTTCTGCAGGGCGGGGGCTACGAAACGGGTCTCGCCGGGAACATTTGGAGGCTCGATTGCTGAAACACTGAGGGCGACTCGTAGATATCGCAGAGGACAACTTTCGGCGAGAGAAACAGCATAATGCGCAATAGCCGTCCTGCAGGCTGGCTTCGCACTGGAAACTAATCCGGTGAACAGCTTTTTAATATATAAATATAGCTGGTTGTCCGCGGACTACAGTAACCTGGACGCCGTGCATCGCGATCGCTTGCTTGCTTTGAATATCCGATGAGATGTCGCTGATAAACATTGACAGCGAGCAGAGGTGGGTGCCCACTCACGTCCAGGTGACGGTTCTCCGAGGCAGGGGACTGAGAGCGAAGGGCAAGCATGGGACAAGCGACGTCTACACCATTATACAAGTCGGAAAGGAGAAATTCACAACGGCCGTAGTCGAGAAAACTACATGCCCGGAGTGGAAGGAAGAGTGCATTTTCGAGCTGCTCCCCGGGGTGCTGGAGCCGAAGGGACGCAGTGCCTATCCTCCGGGGAGCAGCGACCTGGTCCTGACGCTGATGCACCGTGCTTTGATCGGACTCGATGTGTTTCTTGGGCAAACGGTTATCCCGTTGGATAAAGTCTTCCAAGAGAGGATATATCCAAAAAACGAGTATGTCTCACTTACTTATTGTCTTTCTTAATCCGCGTTCATGCCGGATTGTCACACGACTGTCACATACCCCGAAGGCGTCGGTGAGCAAGTTGAGTTGTGAGTCATACATTAATTTAATTTGAAATGGGGTAAAGTCATAGTTATAACCCATAATAATGGCTACAGTTACATGGGATTGCATTAATTTAACGAAACGATCGGTGGGAGACATTGACAAAACAACATATTCAGTGTAATGTAACATATTTAATATGCAATATGCAGTCAAAGTTATAATAATAATAATAAATACGATTGATAATAATAATAATATTAACCATCATCGTCAGTGACAGGGTCTTCATCGGTCATAGACACGCCCTCTGCATTTAACCCACCCCCGACAAACGCTTATTACAGTAGTGACTTAGGTGTCGTAATTATAAATTAGTCCTTTTTAAACTGGGTTTATGTCACAGATGCTGTTATTAGATTGTGAAGTTATTACAGATGGTGACATCACAGGATTATCTCAAGAAAAAAAATTGCATTCTTTTTTTATTATTATTGCACAAAAATTGAACTTAATTGTATTTGTTTGCTTGCTTGTTTTCAATGGCAGGTGAGGTTCTGGGTCACTTAGGAAATAATTGTAAACATATCACTCCTGCATTAAACACAGCCTCCATTCAGACCCTATTCGTACTTTTAGGTCAATGTTTCCCAGCCCAGTCCTCAGAGAATCCCAGACGGTCCACATGTTTGCTCCCAGCCGGCCTGAACTAAACAATCAGAAACACCGGTACAGATGTACAGATGTCTTGGGGCTGGGGGACAAATGATGGCTGGGTTGAAAAACACTGTTTCTGATCATCAGCCTGGTAGGTGGCATGTACTGTATGGAAAGCATCTGGTTTATCAGTCGCCTGCTTGAAAAGTATTAAATGCCTTCACCGTAATGAACGTTTGGTTTGATTCATGACTAGCTTGTTTCTATGTGTGACCTCATAGCCTTCTTTTGACAATCGGACTGTGTTTGGACTACAGCTTTTGGAATATGATTTGCATTTGGTTTCCTTCCTGTCCTATTACTGGCTGTTTGATATCTCATGTACTTTGGAAACTGGGCTTGGGTTGCAGAATGGAACCTGGTACCTCTGCATTTGGATCCACTCTCGTCTAATCATTGCAGTGAGGGTAATATTAGGAGATTAGATGCAGTGGTTTACAGATGCTTCTGGAACCTTGGCGCTCTCTTTACCCCACTGAAGCGACAGTCAGTGTTCTACTGCACAGAGCACTAATGTAATTGAATTAATGCACCATTATTATATTTTTCAATAAACTGTGCACAGCCAATACATTTACAGTGAAGGACTAGAATGAATATGGAGGCTCATTAATTACCATTGGCCTTCATGAGGATAAACATTGGCCTGTAATGAGTGTTATAAGCTTAACAGTACTTTAAAAAGTGCACAGTGTCTTGGAACGCATCTTGTTATTTCAGGCAGAGCTGTCCTTGCTGTTTCGTTGACACAGTCCTGTGAAGGCCAGAACTGGGGGGGTGGGGGGGAATCGATTCAGTTCCAAATTGCGTTTCTTCAAGGAGGGGATTTTTAGATTGCCACAAGAGTTAAAATTTGATTTTTTAAATATCAGTCTAAATGGAGTTTACTGTAATTATGTTGCTCACGTTCGTTACATTTGTTATTTTTGCCCAGTTGCACACAGGTTTTGTTAAGGGACTGACTTGCGTGAGTCTGGCACGGTGCTAAGAAGGATGAGCCAGCATGTGCAGAAACTTTTCCAGCAACATCTCCGTTTAAATCACGAGTTTGGATTGGAAAGCGTTTTTACTCATTCGTCAAGCTTAGAAAATACACTGAACCAAATTAGGTTAAGTCCAGCTCTCAATCCCCCGGTTTATGTTTATGCAAGCAAAGCAACCTGATTTACCAGCATTTATTCATTCCCTGCCATTGCTGTGCTGGATTGGACATTTTTTTCATGGAAAGGTAGTTCTGTTTGGCTCACACTATATGTTTGTTGTTGCCTTCCTGTGCGAGAATTGAGTGACCATCCTCTCCGCTCCATTTACATGGCTGAAACAGCATTCAGAGGATTTAATATACATGTAATGATGCATAGAGACTTGCCTGCATCCCTAATGGGAAAAATAGTGTCAGGTGAGTATGAATGTATGTAAAACAGTGATGGCAGACTGGCTGTCTTACCGTCCCTCGCCCCTCCAGTAATTGTTTTAGTCATGCTGTCACTTAAATTAATAAATTGTTTCCCAACCCGGTTCTCAGGGACCCACAGACAGGCCACGTTTTTGCTCATTCCTCTACCCTTACAGTAAGGGTTGAGCAGGACCTGGGAGGGAGCAAAAAATTGACTCTCTGGAGGTGCCTGAGGACCGGGTTTGGAAACACTGACTTAATTAGTGTATTTGATAAAAGGGGGATTGATATCTCATTACTTGGTTATAATTATTGCTTCCGGATTTGGGTCTTTTAAAAGAAAGCAACTGGCTGCCTGTTCTCACATGCAAAACAGCCAGACTAGTAGATTTGTTATGATTGCATCAAGCTACATTGAGAATAGAATCATTGTACCATTCTCCTCTTTCCTGGATTCTATTGTACCGTTCCCTTCTTAACTGGATTCGTCCTTCGTACTGTTCCTCACTTTGGGATTCAAACATTGTGTTACGGCCCTTTGTTCCTGAATGCTACCATTGTATTATTTTCCCTTTTTGGATTCTCCCAATTTATTACTCCTCTCTTCCTGGACGATTCCATCCTTGGTTACCGTAATCTGCATTGTACTGTTCGCGTTCTTATTGGGTGCACAAGTGTTTCATTATGAACAGATGCATATATGCATGTTGTTCAAATGAAAGAACTCCCTAGCTTGTATGGTGGGTTTCGTATTTCTTCCTGCAAGTGTTTTGATGAATGTAATCCAGTGGAATTAATAGAAAGAAAAGAAATGGTTTTGACTCATCTTACTTTGTAGGTGTCTGACTGAGCTGGGAGAATTTGCCAAATTAAACAATGGTCATGGTGGCCTGAGCAGACCTGTATAGTGATAGACAAGGTCAGCCATGAAAAGCCTCCTGTCTCAGGCTGATGCTGTTGCTTTAGTCTATGTTTTGCTGAAATAGGATAATGATCCCTGGCATCTCTTTAAAATTGCCCTGCATCCTGTAGACCACTCATATTGGCTGCCTGAGACATAGCCAAGAATAGCAAGCAAGCAAGGTAATGTGAGGATGGTGAACAAAGTGGTTTCTGAATCTGTAGGGTAGCTGACAATGCTGCAGAGAGTTATGAAAAGGCATTGAGTCGCGGGCTGTCGTCCTGTTCGCGGCGCATTGACTCGGGGGGAATCTAAGCGAAGCATGCTTGGTAGGACTTTTCTGCTGTATATCACTGAAAGGTGAATCATTTCTATTTGAGTAAAAAGAAATTCATGGTTCTCTTTGCTAATGAATGTACATATAATGTAATTAATTAAATTTTGAGTGTAGCTATATTTGGATATTTCAACAAGCTTATCGTTAATACTGGTGTTTGTTTTTTCCGAACACTGAAGCAGTGAAGTAGCATTTTCCCACAAACCCTTGGTACTGCATGACAGTACTACTGTAGTCCTGATGGATACGCTGTAGTAGGATTGGAAGAGGGATGCTGGCATGCTGGTGTAATCTCGCTGATTTTTGTGATTGCTCGGAGTAGCTGGAGGCTTTTACTCTGACCATCAAAGCTGGTTTGCAAAATGGCTGAAAAAGAAGTTTGTGTGGGAAACAAGTCGGAGGGGTTCTGCCCGAAAGAGCTTGAATTTCAATAGCAGGAGTACTATGATCCTACATTGTTGCATGCATGTATCTGTGGAGAATTGTTAGCTGAGAAGCGGGGGGTGGGGGGAGGGGGGGGGTGGCATGGACAAGGTCAGGGAACAAGCTCCTCAATTTACCTGCGATCAATTTGTAACTGTGAGGAATATAATGTAGGTTTCAGCATCCCTGTACACCAGACAGTTACAGCGGTTGGCTGGTTCAATTCTTCTTGACGTTTCACACCCTCTGCAGTGAGTTTCAGTTTCTTCCCTCTGGACGAAGGTTAATGGTCCCAAAATGTAGAACGAAAAGATTTAATGACAGCTTTGTTCCAGCAGCTCTGACAAGTAGATCATAGCGTTTTTAAATCCGTTTTGTTGTCAGTTGTTCCCGTGTTGACGTGTGTATGTAGGATGTATGACTCATGACTGCGCCCCATATCTACCTACGGGTACAAATAAAATAACCTGAACCTGAACCTGGTTAGGAGTCAGAGCTCCAGTCTGAGAAGCTTGCTGTGTCTAGCCATCCTGTTGAATCCTGAGGGTGCTAATGAAGCTCCTTGTTCATCCTCCGGTCCTCATATCACGTAGGTCTGTTCAGCATCGCAAAATCACAACACTCTATGGTCTGTCACAGGCATGAACATGCCGTTGGGAAGCCTGTAGAGCCAATGAGAAGATAAAACTTTCTTGCGGAATGCCGTATATACCGTCACCATGGGTGATGAGTAGATCAGTGGATTTTGAATCTGTGTCAATGGAAGGTTGTGGGTTCAATTCCTGTGGCTAGTTGAAGGATTATATTGTGGTTGGGTCATTGACCAACACTCAACCCAAAGGGATGCTGGACACTGGCTGACTTCCACTTGTGAGTTGCTTTGGAGAAAAGTATCTGCTGGATAAGACAAAGGATCTTAACTAGACAAGACCTGATAACAATGTACCAATAATTTGAGTAGTAGATCATCACTGTAAGGTTACACAGTTTAGGTTGGTGAAGTTCCTAATGGAGTAGCTCTCTGTAGCTATGCTTTGCACTCCAGCCTACAGTCGTAACTCCTGTTTGAGGTCCTGGAACACCTCCTGAGATCGACCCTCTGTTGATTCAACTTACCCAAGATGACTGGCAAACTTTTGCCTCCTGAGCTATACATTCAAAATTCAGCCTC